CCCTGCCGTCCCGCAGCCGCCATGGAGGTGAAGAACCTGGTCGAGCGGCCCATCAAGGTGACGGAGTGGCAGCAGACCTACACCTACGACTCGGGCATCCACTCGGGCGCCAACACCTGCGCGCCCTCCGTCAGCAGCAAGGGCGTCCTGGACGAGGACGAGGCCTGCGGGCGCCAGTACACGATCAAGACCACCACGTACACCCAGGGCGCGCCCCAGGGCCCAGGTGGGGCCTCCCAGTCTCCACCAGACCGGAGAAAGAGCCTGCCCCTCGCCCGACATTGGGCAGGCCCAGCTGGGGCCCAGGGAGTGGCGGGGTGGCCTGGGGGGGCACCGGGGGCCCCTTGCCGGTCTGCTGGCTGATCCTGGGGGGGCTTGGCAATCTGCCTGCCTTGCTCTGGGGGCGCAGAGGGGTGGTTGGGATCCCCCCGTCTTCAGCGCATCTGATCTGAGGCAGGGGACTGCCTCGCGGCCCTCAGGGCCCAGGCTTCTCTGTAAGGCTGGGGAGTTTCACGCCCCCCCTTGCCGGGATGTAAGAATTAATGAGAAAACAGAAGTGCCTCATTCACTCCCACACTTATGATAGGGACTCCAAAAATATTAGCTTTTTTTTTCTTTTTTCTTTTTTCAGGAGTGGGTTTGAACCAGAGCCTTTGTGCTGAGCTACATCTCTAACTTTTCTTTTCTTTCTTTTCTTTTTCTTTTTTTTGTTTTGTTTTTTTGAGACTGACCTGGATCTCACCATGTAGCCCAGGCTGGTCTCAAATTTACAGTGATCCTCCTGCCTCAGCCTCCTGAGTGCTGGGATTACAAGTGTGCGCCACCATGCTGGGCTTTCTTTCTTTTTTTTTAAAGTAGGAAAATTTACTGGGGAATAAAAATAGGGAATGAGAGACTGGAGGGATCCTGAAGGGGCTGCCTCATCCCCAGCCTTAACATTTATTTTTAAAAAATTATTTCTTTGTTTGAGGTAGGATCTTGCTATGTAGCCCAGGCTGGCCTTGAACTGTCAGTGATCCTCCTGCTTCGGCCTCTCGAGCGCTGGGATCACAGGCGTGTGCGCCACCACGTGTGGCTGCCCAGCCTTCTTACATTGGTATTTTGAGACAAGATTTTATTAAGTGGCTAAATTGTCCGGGCTGGGCTCAAACTCGCAGCTCTGCCTCACCCTTGGGAGTGCTGGGGGCACAGGTGTGCGACCCACCAGGCCTGGCCTCACTGTTCTCTTCTCTGTCTGCAGCGTGTGGGGTGGAAATGCTGTCCCTGAGCTATCCCAGGCCCTGTCCTTGTTCAGAATCATCACGTGTGTGTGCCGCGGTGGGTGGTTTTTTTTTTTTTTTTTTTTTTTTTTTTTTGGTTTTTGGAGACAGGGTCTCACTAGGTAGTTGAGACTGACCTGGAACTCACTCTGGGGCCCAGGCTGGTCTCGAACTCACAGCGATCCTCCTGCCTCGGCCTCCCAATTGCTGGGATTACAGGTGTACGCCACCACCGCCCCCCGGCCCCTCACCCCTGCCCAAGACTTTAGAGACAGGTTCTTCCTCGGCATCCCTTATGCAGCCTTGAGCTCACTGTGCAGCTCAGGCTGGCCTCCAACGAACTGGGGGTGATTCTCCTGCATCACCAAGCCCCGCATGGGACTGTTCTTTCGCGAGCAGGTGACAACTATGCTGACCTTTAACTGCCATAAGGAGACCCCCTTGCCTGACACAACAGGGGGCTCCACGCTGCAGATAGGGAGCCGGGGCGGTGCCGCCCATGCGACAGAGGCTGTGGTGCTCTGGGGTCAGCCGGCCGGGTGGGCGCTGGTCTTGGTGCCTCTCAGCCCCGCCTCCCCTCCCAGGTGACCTGGAGTACCAGATGTCCACCACGGCCAGAGCCAAGCGTGTGCGGGAGGCCATGTGCCCCGGTGTGGCAGGCGAGGAGAGCTCCCTGCTGCTGGCCACGCAGGTGGACGGCCAGGCCACCAACCTGCAGCGCCTGGCCGAGCCGTCGCAGCTGCTC